GACGTAGACATGTCATTAATGATAACATTCTTGTAGTCTTTGGTATGCTGTTGACACCATTTCAACACAATGGAAATGTTTACTGGGAAGACAAATGAGTTATTTAGTGTATTATTTAATAATATTTTTAGCAAAAGAGTGGCACTTTACGATGAAGCTCCTAACTGTACACTCGCCGAAAAAACCTATTTGTACGATTTCGCATAACGCATTTCTATATGATGAGAAAACACAACATGCTTACATGTATGACTRTTCGTTTTGGAGACTAAACATGTTATATATTATATGTCATATGTTATATGTTATCATAAGATGCAAAGGACTGACTCAGTTCATCTAAATTCTTGGGTTTCAACCACATGATCAAGAGCTCATATAATTCAAGATTATATTAATGTCAACAAAACCTGAAAATTTTAGGGCAAACGTATTTTTACATATCGAGATATCGGGATTTCAAAACTACAAAAAATCTAGAGAAAACATTCATTGGTTGGCAACATTATGCCCATCACAGTTATTCCTTTAGAAAATCTAGCAAACTCGGTGCTTGTTATCTCAAAATATTTAACCGATTGCCTTCAATTTTCAGTTTAGGAATAGGTGGGCGCCAATGTTTACGTTTTAGTTAATTTGCATAAAAGTCAGAAATCGAATTTCAAGACACAAGAAAATCAAGCCAATAAATGAAAAGAACTCATACCTGTTAACAATTCCTGCAAATTTGAAGGCAATTGGTTAAATATTTCAAGAGATATCAAGCGTCGAATTTGCAAGGTTTTCAAAAGAAATGACCGTGGTTGGCATTATTTTGCCAACCACTGAATTTTTTCTATAGATTTTGTTGTTTTGAAATGCTGATATCTCGAAATGTAAAAAGGCGTTTGCCCTAAAATTTTCAGGTTTTGTTGACATTAATATAATTATGAATTATATGAGTTCAGATCACTTATTTTTGAATTTTATATTTTGGATGTAAACAAACTACGTCATCGTACGCCCACCTATTGCTAACAGGTATGAGCTCGTTTCATTTATTGGCTTGATTTTCCTGTGGCTTGAAATTCGATTTCTGACTTTTATGCAAATTAGCTAGCTATATGTATAATAACGCATAATGCGTAATAGCTGAAATATATATACACTAATTACGAAAACGTTG